AAAATACATTCAAGCTACATGTTGAGCTTTGTAACATTATCTGCAATCTCTAGATCCTGGGAATAAGCTATTTTTTTTCAGTTATGGCAGATATGCTGCCTTCATTCATAATTCTTCTCAATTCTATTGTTTCAAAGAAGCTGAAGTGAAATTCATCTCCAAGCCTTTTGCAAAGAAACTGTCCTACGTTGAGACTAGGAGTGCAATAGGCCATAAGTACTGAGTACTGCTTTGCTTTCTATGCATTGCAAAGAAATACATAAATGCAGAATATATTGTTCAGCCCCTGACTCTGAACATGGTATGTTCCCAGTGACCAGTGTATATTCAGCACTGGATTCACACAAAGACATTAGAATTAACAGTCCATTAACATTAAAATATGTCTTCAATGTTGATTTAAGAGCTTCTTAAACAGGAACATATTAATAGGCCAGAAGAGAAGAGGATGTTATGTCCTATTCCAAGTGGATCAAGTAAAAGTAACTGATTTGCATCACAGAATCACAAGGTTGGAGAGGACCTTGTTAGACTAGGTATCACAGGAATGATGAAATCCTTCGTTTATTATTCATATCTATTTATGTGATAAGTTAGCAGGCATGATCAAACTAGTACTCCCTATTTTCTGGTATGGTACTTACATTATCTGAACATTTCTTTTTAAGTTTATGTGGTTATTTTCAAACTAATAGTGGATTTTAATTCCAGCTAGAGGATTAAACTGCTCAGAGTTGGCAGGCTGGCCTATAAGGCCTTAAACATAATATATACGTACTTAAACAAATTAGGCCATTTATTCCACCTCTTTCCCAAAGTGAATGTAAGCCGAAGTTCTAGATCATCCTTTCATGCTTTTTCAAGTGCTTTTGACTTGAAGGCAAAAAGATGCTTTTGCAGTAAATGAATAATCCTGGAAAAGGCATAACTACTTTAAGGAGTTACGGACCAATGCTACTATATTCACTTCAAGGCCGTTTTTTGCCTTCTGGTCCAAAGTGTGACATAACCCTATCACTAATACATATCTATTTTCTGATTAGATAGCAATGATGTGCAAAATGTTCAAGGGGTTGTTTGCAAAGTCATTAAAGTCGAGGCAGCTTTGAATGGGCTTTCCTGTGTCACCTCTGAGTGCAGGAACAGGCACAGGCCTTTTGTTGCTAATCTCTGTACTGTATATGTACGTGAACAACCTGAAAAAGCCTTTGAAGAGCTGGAGGATGGCTGTTGGAAGACAACCTTCTTCTGGCGGAGGAGGCTGGCCCATTTGAAGATTCCCTTCAAATCCATGCACAGACTCATTAGAGGCATTCTCCCCACAGTTTCTTGGGTGAGAAGCAAAACGTCTTAAAAAAAAAATCAGAAAGTCCTGTTGCCTCTTTAAAAAGCACCTTTGGGATAACCATGACTTGGATGACTGAAAATTTCCATAGAAATGCCTGTTTCTTTTTCCATTATTGGCATTTGATTGAAATGGGAGGCCACAGCAATTAAATTAATAAATTTCCATGATTTTTAGATATGTACATGTACTTTGACATACTGATGGGGATTTGAAGGGAGAAGGGATTTTTCAATGTTCAAACAAACATGGGAATATAAACCTCTCTTCAGCATATATAAGAATAATTCAGAATCTGCTTATATTAAGTTTCATAGTTGCTATGGTATTAGACTGAAATTGAAATCAATACAAGGCACACAAAGATCTTCCTCCAGAAACACCATCATATAACCCAAATTTTTTATTACCTTTTCTTCTGAATCTCCTGGCTGACAAGTGATAACCCCATCTCTTGAACCCCCTGAAAAAGTTGCCTTGCAGTTTGCCAGCCACTGTTTGTAAAAAACAATATATATGTATATATGTGTGTACATACATACATACACAAACACACCCAACACATATTTATATAGGCATTAGCACAGAAGACATACACTTTCAGTTTTTCAAAAATCATACTTTTGAGATAATATATATTTTACTGAATTTCTAAATATTTTCTGGAATAAATCTAAGAAAGGATGCATTACATTACTGAATATAAAATTCTTGAATGAAAATGTAGTAGATACTACATTGTAACTTAATCAAATTTAATCACATTATGATAACTCCAATCCCTAAAGTCTTGTTTACTTCCTAAAATGTTTTAAGTTTTTAAAATTAAAATCTTTAACATACAGTATATTCTGAGAATAATGAATATACATCAGCATTAACTAGCTCTGTGTTCTCCAAAAAATGGTTTACTGATGAACTAAATTTCCTTTCAGATTTTATATTTAAAAGTAAGACAAAATCAACATAAGACAAAACATAACGATCATGCTTACAGAAAGTGTTGCTTCTTTTCTGTTATTATATGTATCCAAGTATTCTTGTAGTTCTAAGACACTAAACTTTAATTTCTCTAGAAGCCCACAAGAGAGAAGCTGGAAAAAAATAAAGATGCTTCAGTGAACATTGTTTCTTTCAAAGACTGGTAAAATTGCTCTCATTGAGTAATGAAAATCAGCAGGGACGATCCCATAAGAATTAAACTCTGGAATGGTCATGAAGAATGGCTTTGTCTGAGGCACAGTGCTTCATGTGAGATCAGATGTGGCAGAGAAACTCTCTGGTCTAGCTCAGGCCTGTTAAACTGGCAGCCTGCAGCCCAGATAAATCACACACAGGCCATGCCCACCCAGACTCCGCAAAGACAAAAAAGCAATTATCATGACGTATCGCAATCGAGTTTGACACCCGTGATCTAGCTGATGAAGATTGTCAGTCATCCTGATAAAGTTGTCTTAAGGCTCATGGAAACTAGCCTTATTTTCTTGTTAGTTTGAAATGTTTCACTGCTCATCCAAGCAGTTTCATCAGTCAGAGACAGTTAGTTAGGCAGAAAATCGTTGGAATGTACCAACTCCTCCTGCAACAACCTCTCCTCCTAACAAACTTGCTCTGATTGGTGAAGCTGCTTGGATGAGCAGCGAAACATCTCAAAAATCAAGAAAATAAGTCCAGTTGTCATGACTCAATCTTCAGACAACTTTACCTGGATGGCTGAGAATGTGCACTGACATATTTTAATGCACTTCAAGGAAGAAATGCCTGAGGTTGATGTGGGAGGAGTTGGTACATTCCAAGCAATCTTTGCCTGATTAACTTGCTGTGATTGATGAAGCTGCTTGGGTGACCAGCAAAATGTCTCAGACTAACAAGAAACTAAATCCAGGTGCTGTGATTCAACCTTCAGACTCTAGTTTAGCCTACTTCATGAAGAAAATGGTTTGGAATTTGAATGGTAGCACTTTGGTGATGTAAGTTTACATTTATGGTCTGACATAGTAGTTCATATAAAAACAGATTTTGGTGATTAAGGCATCTGGATAGAAAGTGGGAGTCAGTTCAAGTCCTGCCTTAGGCATGAAAGTTGGATGATGTTGGGCAGTTACTCATTCTGAACCCAACCAACCTCACAGGCTTGTTGTTGTGGGGAAAATGGAGAAGAAAGGTGTGTTGGATATGTTTGCTATCTTCAGTTAATTGTAAAAATAATAATAAAGATGGGATGCAAATAAATTAAAAAAAATAAAAAATATATAATTATGCAGTAAGGCTCCGTATTATGCAATGTATTTCTAATTATCCAGGGAACAGATTTTCAGGAAAACTGACATGCTGATCATGAAAAGATCTGATGAAATTACACATCCACATAATTCTAATTAACATGCTGCTTTTGTGTGATTGCTTATGTAAATATACTCACGGTTTCAGCATCTACAAAAAGGGTAGGACATTCGGAACACGAAGTCAGCATCTGTGATGAGCTCACAAACTTTGAGCCAATTCCTCGCAGATTATCACCGAGATAGCTGGCAGCGTCACAAGTTAGAAAGCAGAATCTTTTTTGAATATTCTGTAAAGTAGAATTACATTTGCTGTAGAATCTAATGCATCTTTAAGTTTCATAGATAAGCAGTTCTTGCATTACGACCATAACAGAGCTTGCCCATTTAAGGTTGCAAATGATGACAAGACCCATCCTCTGTTCTCCCTGATGCAGTTGTTGAAACAAACGTATGGGTTGTTAAGAGGGTACAGGGTTCCTCAGGGGTGAGGGAGGCCCTGAGAAGCCTACTGCAGGCCCAGGCTTGCCTTCCCTAGGCTTCCCAGGCTTCCTCAACCTCAGGCACCCCATTCTCTGCTTCTCGCTCCTTGGGGTCCTCAGAGCCTTTCAGCTTCCTTCCCACCCAGCGACCTGGGGGAGATCAGGCTTGCTGGAGTGTGCAAGCAAGGAGAGGCTGGATGCTACAGCTTGTCTGATCTCCCTTGGGTGAATGAGTTCCTACTTGGCAGGGTGGGATGGGTGAATGCTGCAGAACCCTGTGCTTGGTCATAAGCAACCATACATTTGAAACTGGGTCATAAGTAGCTTTCAAGCCAGTCTGCCATAACTTTGAACAGTTGTTAAGGAACCAGTGGTAAGTCAAGGAGTACATGTAATGATGTTTTTTGTATGATTCAGAATGAAATATGTAACGTAAGTGGGGTATATATTTATGGTCTTAAGGATATATGCATATCTGTAACAGCCTAATTATACACTATTAACTTTTTGTATAGCACAGGTATTTATTAATGTGCTATGCTAGTCTCCTTCCTGCCTGTCCTATTTAGTGGTTGTTACAACTGTATGTTGTGTAGATGACTCCTGTTTTTTCTTCTGGGGCTACTGGGTCTTTTGGTTTAGTTAGGAAGTGTTGGAAAGTTTTGCTTGCTTGTGTGCGATGGTAATGCAATGTGGTTGTACTAGTTTGTGGTTGTTTCTGAAATTTTTTGATGTGTGACAGTGTTATCTTTTTCATAGTATTTATTGGTTGTCCTGTAGTGGGTTGAGTGGTCAGGCACTTTTAGATAAAGTTGTGTGCGTCTCCATTTTTATTGAAATATATTTTATAGGTGGCCTGTTTCCTTTTTCTGGTGTTCTGGGTTGCTGCAGTGTGTTTGTGCTTGTCAGAATAATGTTCTTACACAGTTTCTCTTATGAGAGGTTAGGTTGCTACTTTTGTATATATTTTTTCTATTTCCTTGCTATTTTTTATTTTTTTCTATTTTTATTTCTACAATACTTTTTCTTTTTCTGCACTTTCTACTTTTGTTTTTCTTTTATTTTTGTAGTCTATACTAGTTTTTTTACCTGTTTAACCATAATGTTTAATAAAATCATTATTTAAAAAAAGAGAATCATAGGAGAGGCTTCTAAACATGTACTTATTATATACAAAATTTGTAAGTATTGCTTGAAAAAGTTCTTACACAGAGAGGTTCAGCTGGAAACTATGAGAGTAGAATCTCTTTTTTTCTTCTTCATTGAGATTGTTCTCCCCTAAGAAATACTCTGTTCTAACTGGAAACAACTATTAATAATTTCAGTTTATCATCTGAAAACCATGGTGGGAATTTGTTGTGTTGGATAACAAAACAGAGTTATCAGGGTGTGTTATTACCAAATGAGTATATTATATAAAACAGAACTGTTAAATGGATGTGAGATTTGTTTCATGACTAAACAATTTCAAATGGTTTTCCTGCTAAACAAGATTATTTAAAAGTAAAAGGCTATGTCCCGGCATGATTGTTTCCCAGTAGAGTATTGCTTTTCAATTTCTTCTTGAATGAAGAATTTAATGTTAATGTTAACTAACATTCATCTCGATTTAAGGGTTTTATTATAAAGGACATTGTATATAATGTTCAAAATACTGTAGATGTGTTTGAATATCTACAATTTTGTCTCAACTCTCCTCCTTCCCCAAGTGGTTAGGTGTAACACTGGTACCTTTAATGTTTATTGCAAGTATGCTTTAAAATCCCAGAATGATAATTCTGCTATATTTTCAACAAACTTTACCGAGTCTTCTTGAAGCAATGCAAATGGTTCTCTATTTCAAAACAATAAAAAATTCTATTCTATTCTGTTCTATACTCATTTAAAAGGTCCATGTGAAAGCACCTTTAGGAAGGTTTGAGCACGAGAATTAGGAATGCATAAATTTTGTAAACTAGGGATTTAAAGAATGAAAGATAAGGGAATTTTCTTCTTCTAGACACTTGTACTACAAATTATAAGCTTGTTATATTTACCTAGGATTGATAGTATAGGATTCTAGAACCATTTCCTTACCTTAAACAAGGACGAAAACACATGGAAAGTATAAACAGCACAGGACCCATCTGAGTCACACATAAGCTGGTTGATATGACTACGCCAAGCTTCTTCTGCAGCATCACAGGCAGTAGGTTGAAATGCAGCTAGGATAGCAGAAAAGAATGGGGAAAGTTGGGGTGAAGCAGTGCGATCACCTTCACCAAAACTGTAACAAAGAAAATATCAAAATGTTAGATAGGATAGATAGGGTGTCTAAAAGGTCTTGGTTTTCATACATTAATGAGTTTAATGATTTGACATGAACCGTTTCTTAAACTCTGCCATGTGTACATTTTTTAATTCACCCTGGCATACCTACCATTAAACCTCCGCCTCTTGAAGTTTATGTTACATTTCTAAACATTTCCCCTTAGTTTTATTTTAAGAAATAGTTTTCGTTTATTTGAACCATTTTACTATGCTTTGCTATGCTGTGAATTTTGTTGCGTGCAGTGCACTTTTAGTTTATTAAAAACAAATATAGATAAAACTGCTCTCATACATAAATATATGTATAAAGAAACACAACTTTGATTGTATGAGTGGTGCCTCAAAAGAAAACAAGACAACAAAAACACAGACACGACTATGTCTGTATCAGGGCTGGGTTCCTTCCAGTTCTAACCTCTTCTATAGAAGAGGGTCCACAAATCTACCGTGCCGTTTAGAACCAGTTCCAGCTCCCTTCCACTGCCCGTCCGCACCACGCTTGCCTCGCCCGCTGCTCACTAATTGACTGGCTCACCAATCGCCCTGCCAGCCTCTAAGAGTCCTATCTAATTCTTAAAGTCTTAAAGCTGCCAAGTTTGAACACCCCTGGGTTTTTTTTCTAAAGGGTTAGGGGTGCAAGG